TAGGGCAGGAGAGTGACTAGGGAACCGGACAAACTGAGGTGCTGTGCCAGCCAGGCTGCGTAGCTGCTGCAGACCTCGTTGGGCTGGCTAGAACAACCGATCGGCCAGGCAGCTGAGGAAGTGCTCCTAACCATGGCGCTTTCAGTCACATGGCTGCAGGGAAGCTTCTGTCTGCAGATGTGGGCCTCCTGTCCCCAGGGAGGACCACCCTGCCTTAGACACTCAGAGAGACGGCCCTTCTATAGCCTTATCCCCCTTCCCAGGGCTCTGTCACTATCCATCTCCCCTGGGTGTTGGGGACTCTTGCTACATGTCTGTAAGTTTCCTAATATAGCCATACTGTTTCATTTCCAACGGGTGGCCAAGAGCGGCTCTCTGTTGCAGTCTCAGGTTTTCTTGGGCTTAAAGGGACCCTGTCAGCCTGTCTCAGGCCAAATTTTAGCTACAGGTAGGTAGCTGGATTCAATTTCACCAACTTCTCCAGCCTGGAGATTAGATATCCTCTCTGCCCCATTCCCAGCTTCTCTGCCCCGTTCACACTCCTTCCCCCTTCCTCACTGGAGAAGCAGGAGTGTGGCTAGGTGTGGCGCTTCGGCTCTGGTGACACGTGAGCTATGTCCTCGGTGTGTCTTCCATCCTTGCTGAGCCTTAACTTGCCTCCAGGTCTTTTTCCCCCCCTTTCCCACAGCTAAAGCAGAAAGAGAATAAAAGTTGTAGAACGGACACATCCCACTCGGTCGTGCAAAATATTTGCACTAAGTCCCCAGTCCTCATCCTTCTAGGCCCTGAGGACACCCCAATAAACAGACTGCGGTCCGTGCCCTTGTCGAGCTGCCCGCCTGTGAAGGCAGAGCCCCAAAGAAAAAGATGTCTGTTGTCTGTGTACACAACGAGGCGGAAAGACTGAAGCAAGGACGGATAGAAACTTCATGTGGGAAGTCGGGAATGGAGGCTTGAAGGCACCCGGGGGAGTGAACCGTGTGGGCACCTGAGGGAAGAACATTCTGGTCAGAGGGAAGGACTCACGCAGATGCTCCTGAGGCAGGACCACCGCTGGTGTGGGCAAGGAACACCCAAGAGGCCTCTAAGCCCCGAGGGGAGGGAGATGAGAACAGAGAAGTGGCGGGGATGAAATTGGGGGGAGTTAGGTGGGTCGCTCAGCCTTCAGCTTCACTCCTTGAGAGGGGCAGAACCGGCAGTCTGTCTGCATGTTTGGACAAACCCCTCTGATTGGCTAGCCAGTTGCTGGCAGAGGATGGGGAACAACAGTGGCTCTGACCACCACCCAGTCCAAGTGAGGATGCTGAGAAGGGGCCGGATTCTAGATCCACTTGCATGCTTCCTGGTGGGGTTTGCAAAAACACTACCAGAAGTGTCTGTTTGTTTTCTGAATTTTTCTTGTTTTATTTATTTATTAAATGAAAGCCATTAACTTTGGTAATGGAGTCTTTAAGAGGCGGGGCCTAGCAGGAGGATTTTAGGTCACAGGGGAGTGGCCTTCCTTTCTTTCACATCTTAAAGCCTGCAGCAGGTTTTAAAGGTTCTGGTTTGGGGATGCTCTTGTCCATGGTCTGGTGGCGCCTTTGCTTTGAGGTCATCATGTGATGTGCTCATCATGGTGGGAGCCTAATGCTGTCCACTTCAAGAAGTGAGAGGAAGAAAGGACACACCCCCATGGCCTCTGAGTAGGCCCCGCCTCTTAAAGGCTCCTTCACTGAATAGAGCCACGCTGGAGACCGAGTCTTTACCACACAGATAAGTGATGGACTCTTAAGATGCAGCAAAGGCTCTGACTAGCCACTCCAGGGCGGTGGACATTGATGTCACAGTACTGGTGTGCATGGCAGCTCAGGATGTAGAGGCAGAGGACTGGCTTTCAGTGCTACTGTGGGGAAGAGTAAGAAGGTGGTGTGTGTGTGTGTGTGTGTGTGTGTGTGTGTGTGTGTGTGTGTGTGTGTGTGTGTGTTGTCTAGGGGCCATCTGTCTCCAGGCTT